TATTGGTCTGTGGCCTGTTAGGAACTGGGCTGCAGAGCAGGAGGTGAGCGGCGGGTAGCATGGCCAAAGCTTCATCTGTATTTGCAGCCGCTCCCCAGTGCTAGCATAACCTCCTCAGCTCCACCTCAGATTATCAGGCATTAGATTTTCATAGGAGCACCAGTCCCTCATGCCAAAAAGGTTGGGGACCTCTGCTTTACTTTATAGTGTCAGGCACTGTTTGGGTAATGCGAATACCAGGGCCAAGACAGGCAAGGTCCCCACCTGCATGGAAGTGATGTTCACAGCATGGTAGTGACAGAAGCACTCAGTCTGCCACCAGATGCCATACTTCTAACAAAACAATATGAGGTTGGATGTGTTTCTGACTCTGGAGAGCAGTAACTGCTGTTGTCTTAGATAGGAATAGTTTTGGAGAAAGGAGTTTGTAGCCCTCCTGAAGCTTTCTTTTGGGGAGTGGGCAGTGGCTGGGGGTGGGAATGCTGATGGCTCCTATACTGATAGTTAGAATTCAGGAGCCACCCTGCCAGGCCCAGCAGATTTAATCCAATGAACTCTGGCCACTTAGAGAGACCTGCTGTTGGCGTGGGGTTGCAGACACCTGAGATTGAGTTCTGCTCTGCTGTATGACCTGGGCCAAGTCCTGCCCTACTCTGGGACAGACATGGCCTGTCTTGACAAAGATAGGATTTTATGGCCGCTGAGATACTTTCTAGTTCTAGAATTCTATGGGTTTGAGAATGGGCTGAAAGAGCAAGCTGATGGGGGTTAGAGGTATAGGGGTGGGAGCTATGTCCAGGAAAGGAGAGCCTACTTTTGCTCATAGATAACACATTGAGACCCAGTGGCCTGGATATCATAGGAAGGTGGATAAGAAGAGTGCAATGTAATAATGCTACCTCTCCTTGCGGAGGAAGGGGCCTGTATCATCCAATGGGAGAATGACTTCTATAGAGGAGTCTGGGTCCACCTCCTTCAGGCCCCTGTGCAGGGATGGGCATTGTCTGTCTTGGGTCCAGATGAAAGAGGGAGCCTCACTAGTATATTTCACAAATACTTATTAAATATTTAATATTAGGTATAAGTACCTACTCTGTGCCAGACACTGTCCTGGGGATGAATGAGAGACAAAGTCCCAGTCCTCGTGAACTTCACAATTTGAGGGAGGCAGAAACCAGGGTCAGGGAGGCAATTAAGGGTCAAAAAGGTGACAAAGGAGGTAGAACAGTGATCCCCAGGGAGATCAGGGATGGCTTCCCTAAGGAGGTGACATGTGAACTAAAATGGAAGGATTTGGAGAAGTTGGGGTTGAGCGTTTTGCAGCGCTGGAATCAGGCAAGGTACCTGCTGGGGGCTGGGACCACCTGGCTGTTTGGGCCCTGTGGGGCACAAGAATTGGCATACCTCACTGTTCTGAACACTGAGGGCAGGAGCTAAGTTGACTGACTGTCTTTTCCCTTCTGCCCTGCCCAGCACTAAGTGGCTTTGGGTGATAGATGATATGGGCCCCCTGGGATCCTAGACACTCAGAATTGATGGCCTAAGATGTCAGAGGGAGCCCTCATTGCACATGCAGATGGGCAGCTGAGGCCCAGAGGAAGTGACTTGCTTAGGGTCATACACCCAGCCAGCATTAGAGGTAGAACAGGTGCCCATACCTGCCAGGCTGGCTTCAGCTTCCCCACTCCTTTGTTTTGATTTCAAATAGAAAATCCCATCCCAGAGAGGTATCTCTAGTAGGGGTGGGATGAGGCCAAGAAGGCCTCCATCTCTGCCCTTATCTCTGATAACTTCTAGGGCCGGTTCCAGCTGCCTCTCTCTCTCCCTCCTTGTGGAGGCCCAGAATCTGCACCCATGGCACACACCCCAGCCTTCTCCTGGGAATCCCCTCAGGCTGGAGGGATCCTCCCCCAACTAATCTCTCCCTCTCCTGTCCCCGAAGCAGGACTGCCAGCAAGGTTTGCTGAACTGGGGTGAGAAAAATCTACACTCTGTTGTCTGCAGAGGGCCAAGGGAGAGCCTCCCCTCACCCACCTGCCCCTTGGAAATCCCCCTTTCCCCAAACCCTGAAAGCTGTCTCAGCTGCTCCTGGCCTGTCACATGCTGCTGAAAACTAATGAGAGGAGGCATTGTTTATTATGTGGGCCACAGTGAATGTGGTGGGGTGGGGAGAGCAGGTATATACACCTCCACCTTCCATCTTCAGACCTCACGGCCCCTTGGCTGACTTGGGGAAGGAAGTAGATGGAAGCAGCTTCCTTGGGCAGGAGGGGGAAATCTCTACTTCCCCAATTATTATACTTCACTGTACTCTATGCTCTTGTGTCCACTGTCCTCGGGGGCTGGTTCATCAAAGGCTGTCAGCTCCACTCATAGGGTGCCTGGCTCTGTGCTTGACATGGAAAGGAGACAGACAGCTCAGCTTGTCAAGAGTTTAAACCCCAAATCTTCTGGCAAACTACATGATTCCCAGGAGGCTGCTGGTGGGGTGTTCTCCAAGTAGGGCCTCCTGTCTGCTTAGGACACCCTCTTCTCCAGGTCTTTAGCCAGGTGAGGCCATCACCACCATTCTCCAAGAGGGTCACGAGGCACTCAAGCCCTGTGTTGTGGTCCTAAGAGTTCTGGTGCATACACCTTCCATACCACCTACTTCTCACCAGTCCTACCCCAGGTTCTCCCATGCTCTTGGCTGTGGGCAGTTCTCTTCCTTCAGGATCCTGGAGTAAGCAAAGCCTTTGTAGTAAAAGAAAGTAAGACTGGAAGAGTGCCCTGGACTCTCCTGCCCATGCCTCTTCACCTCCAATAGTACTTAAGTGTCATCATTTCCACCTCCACCAGTATGCAAGCCCCACCATCTCTACCTCCACCAGTGTCTCTTCAACTCGTATGGCACACCTACTGTGTGCGGGACATTAGGCTGAACCTGGGGTTACTAAGAACTTGTCTTGAGACAACTGCTGGGAGCCCTGAGTTGTAAACAGGTCTATGTTAGCAGGCAGCACTGATGCCCATGGGAGTATGGAGAACTGAGCTAGGGGAGGAGTGGGGGCAAGGAAAACTTTATGGAGGAGTAGACTATGGAGCAGGGCCTTGAGGATAACAAGGAATATTCCAGGCAAAGGTGGAAGAGGAAGGAGTATGTGTAAGTCTGGAGGTGTGTACTGGGGAGTGGCGAGCAGTTTTGTGTAGCTGGAGCTCTGAGAATGAGATGGGTGTGGTTGGAGATGAGGTTGAACTGGTGGGCGGGGGCAGCTCCTGCACAGCCTCCTGTGATGGCCAAGGCACCTGCTACACAGACATCCTCCAAGGTCCTTTCCATACTTGTCCTCACTCAATTCATCCTGAATTTAGACTTTACCCTTGAGTATTCTCTCTGTTCCTCCATACCACCTTTCCCCTTGTGGGCCTTGGTTTCCCTATCTGTAAACTAAGGAAATTGAGCTAGCAAATCTCTGAAGTCTCTTCCAGCTTTGACACTAGGACCCTCTTCTCTGTGCAAAGCAGAGAGCCTTGTGCACACAGCTTGGTATACAGTGTATGCTCAATAAGTATTTTCTGGATAGATGAATAAAATACAGACCCTCAGAGGCTGCACTGTTGTCAGCCTCAGACTCTTAGCAAGAGATAGGCCTATGGGGGAGGAGATTGGCTCTGACTCTCCCATTTTGTAGGAAAGGAACAGGGTGTTCTGGAGCCACTGGGCATAAGAGGCAGCATGGTGTAGTGGAGGGGCTTGCCCAGGTGGCAGAAAGTATGAGCCATATGGGGATTAGAACTGAGGGCTCTGGACTCCCAGCCCAGCGCTCTCTCTGCTACACCATGCTGCCCCTAGTTGGAGAGACAGGGCAGAATGATGGTAAAGGAGAGTTATTGCCCAGACTGTGGGGCTCTGGGAAGTTCCCTGGGCACAAGGGTGCTTGTGGGGGCAGCCTGGCGGTCTGGAAGCTTTCAGAAGAGGCGAAGTTTGGCCTGGGTTTTGAAAAACAAAGAGTTGTATAAGGGGAGATGCGTGAAGGACATATAGATCTACAGATGCACACAGACATGAGTGGTTTTACATACGTTTACGCATTATACTTTCCATTACTTAAACTTATGTGCACACATGCATACAAATGTAGATATGGGCATACTCTCAATAAACATAATTGCAGTCATACGGATACACAAAAGCACATGCAATTACACAATCTATAGATAAACATATTCACACCTGTATTCACACAGGCAGACTGTTACCCACTCAAATACATAAAACCAGTGATACCCAGTCACTTTGAGAGAGACAGTCACAATTATGTAGGCAGATACAGAAAAACACACATCTAGACATTTGAAATCAGACCCCAATGATATGGATGTAGGCACACAGTCACACACAGATGATTATACAGAAAGGAACCCATATGTTCAGGGTCACAGATATATACACAGCCACATTCAAGCACACAGCTACGGATGCCCAATTATATGCCTGCCTTCTAGGTCATGCGGGGGCATAAACTGGAGGGGTGGTACCATGGATTAGTGGGGATTGCAGTCAGTCTGGGTTTGAGTCCTAGCCCTATAGCTTAATGCTGTTTGACTTTGGGCTAGTCAGGTGACTTTGTGAAACCTCAATTTTCCCATCTGTAAAATGGGGCTGATAAAAGTACCTACCTTACATAATTGCTTTGTGGATGAAATAATGTATGAATGCCGTTATCACAGAGCCTGGCACATAGTACGCACTATATAAAAGGGTGCTACTATTATTTTGAATACCATTACTACAGAAATACAGTCAGATCGATACATTTGTACACACAGGCACAGACAGGAGATGCACACATAGACACGTGACACGTGGCTATGTGGGCCCTAGCGGCAGCAGGGCCCCGGACCCTGGCTGTCTGGAGCCTGGTTCCTGGTTATCCTGGTTCTACTGCAGTCCTCAGATAGGTGGCCTTTGGGCTAAGAGAGCGAGCGACCCGCCAGCCCCACCTTTGGATAGGCCCTACCTTTCCCGGAGCGCTCTGGGCGGGTCGGCTCAGATGGTCTCCCAGGTTCTGGGGGGCGGAGCCTACGGGGCAGACGTCAGGTCCCGCCTCTCCGCCTGGCCCGCCTCTGGCCCGACCATTGGCCGCAGAGCCCGGGGGCGTGGCCGAGCTGGGGCTGGGGGCGTCTGCGGTGGCCGCCCGCGCGTCTCTCTCCCTGCCTCCCGGGGCTGCGGGCCCGGCGGCAGGGCTGGTTGGGCTGCGCCTGGGTTCCCGCGCCGGCTCTTGCGCCCGCCATGGGCAACTCACACCACAAGAGGAAGGCCCCCAGCTGCCCCCGGGCCCGCAGTTTCTGGCGGTTCGGGCGGTCCGCGAAGCGGCCGGCAGGTAGGGGCTGGGAGTGGGGGCGGGGCAGGCGGGGAGGAGGGTCTCCCTGCTGCAGCCGCCGCCACCGCTGCTGCCCCCTCCCGGGGCTTGGCGGGTGTGAGTGTGGAGGGCCGGGAATCCCCCGCACGGACCCCACATGCACATAGAGACACACGGACATACGAATGCCCACGGGAGGCATATATATATGTTCACAATTTACACAGTCACACAACACCCACTCGGATGTACAGATATGCAGACACAAAATCACATACACATTCACACTTAACACCATTGCTGTAGGATGGACAGATCCTGAGACACAGGTACATACGTGTATATATATGTATACGGTTTACAGAGCCACTCGAACTACACCACACGCGCAGAATCAGACACCCAGTCATACACCACAGCCATGTAGGTACAGTTGCCCAACGTGTTAGGCACACAGATGTACACACGAGTTCAAAACTGCACAACTAACCGGACTCAGACTCAGGCAGAAAAACACGCTAAGGCACTTACACACACACACACACACACACACACACACACACACACACACACACACTTACAGTTGTTTCCCAGGCTTTAGCCCCCAACTGGCTGAAAGTTTGCAAAAGGGAGGGGAGAAAAAGGTGAAGGGAAGAAGCAGGAAGCCAGGGGCTGGAAGCTCAGGGCCACCTCCATCTGGCACGATCGGGAGTCGGACTGGTTCTCTGGGCTCCCTCCCCACCCCCACCCGCTCCGCCGCTGCCTTTCCGTCTCCCTTCCCCCCACCCGCGGTCCCTGTGGTCGCTGCCGCATCTCCCCTCTTTCAGTGCAGCCACCGAGCTGGAACACAGCCTTCCCGGCGTGCTGCGGGATCCCTCCGCGGGTCACATTCCAGCCTCCAAGGGGTGGGGGAGAATGGGGAAGGCCTCCCACCCCAGGGCTTGGAGAGGGATTCCTGGTTTCCCTCAGCCGGTGCGGCAGTTAAAGGTATCCCCCAGAGTACCAAGGGGTGTTGAAGGAGGGGGCTGTTGAGGGTGCATGGTTCCCTCACCTGATGAATCCAGAGATGGGGTAGAGGTGGGCCGGGGGATCCACCTCCCCTGCCCCTCCACTTTCCCAGGAAGATAAGGGGTCTCCAACACAGGCAGTTACCTGCTGGTCATTGGGAGTGAGAGAATCCGGGAGAGGGTGGGGTGGGGGCTCTCTTCTGTAGTGGGAGAATCCACCCCTGTCTTCCTAGGATGGCCCACATTCCTAGAGGTTCTGAATTGAGCCTAATGATCTCATCCCTCCATGCAGGGCGACATAGAAAGAGCTTGGGCTAGGAATTGGGGGTTCTTCATTCTCAGTGTGGCTGTGGTATGGACTCTAGTGACCTTGAACAGGTAGCTTTCACTTCTCTGGATCTTCCTGGCTCCTGGGGGGGGTGCTGTTTGTGAAATTAGGGGGGGCTTAGCTTAGGTGACATCTTGGGACCCTTACAGACTGGCTAGCCATTTTGTGGATAAAGAGACTGAGGTCTAGAGAACATGGGCTTGCCCAAGGTCATTTGTCTCCAGTGGTTTGAAGACAAATCATAATAATCAAAATAATAATAATAGGAAAAGGGTTAATTAAGTTCTGAGGATTCTTCCGAAAGTGGGTTGATGAGAGACTCCAGGACTTTCCAGGAGACTCGTGGTCCCAGCAATCCTAAAATCCAGGCTCTGCTCAGCTGTCTGCTTGGGATGTGCACCAAGTGGATGGGGCTGGGACTGGGGCTCTTCATCTGCTCTCCCATGGTCACTCTAATCTGATGGTTTCCTGAGAACCAACTGTGGGTCCAGACTTGTGACCATTTGTGGTGGGGAGAGAGAGATTAAGAGGGCTGTGTTTACAGTCTCCTGCACGCTGGCCCTGAAGGAAGGGGCCCAGGGCTTTTAGCAGCTGTGCTCTTCCAGTTCCTGCTGCAACTCAAGGGTCAACCAGGCTTTAAGGTGTTCCTACGAAACCAGCGCAGTGTCAAGGCAACACAGGAGTAAGTGCGGGGGCTAGGGACTGTTCTAGGCCATATATCAAAAGGCTTTTAGGTTGGGGTCAGTTTTAGGAAACTGAGGAGGTGGTCTTAATTTGGTCTTTGAAGAAACTGCAGGATTGAATTAGTCCTGAATTGTTGACTAAGTGAGAGAACACAGCCAGGGTCGCATTTCATCTCTGGGGTATGGTGAGCAAAGGCATGGAGTTGAGACTTAGCATGGAGATTGGAGAGAAAAAGTAGTTGAGGCTCTTTCCTGGTGCCTGGGAGAAGTTCTGTTGTGAATGCAAACTTCAGTCCCTTTGGTTTTACTTTTACTGAGGTTTCTAAAACCTCCCTGACCTCAGCCTCAGGTGTCACAGACCCAGGTATGGTACTGGGGCTTGAGTACTTATTCATTTGATTAATCTGTGAGAGGATGAGGGAAAATCAAGGCAAGTAGAAAGGGGCGGAGTTTACAGGCAATATGGAGCCAGTGCAGATGTTTGAGCAAGGGAGGAGCCTGTGAAAGTGGTGTGTTAAGAAGAAAGTGGTGTCTCTGGGGTGGAGGCAGGTGCAGGCAGGACAGGTTGGCAGGTGGGGTGGTGAGAGTGGAAGCTCAGAGAGCAGCCAGGAGGCTGTTGCAGTAATTCAGGGAAGAGGTGATGAGGTGAGGGTTGGGGACAGGGTGGGGGCTGTAGGAGTGGAGAGGAGTGGCAGCGACAGAGGCACTGTGGAGGAGGTGACAGAAGTCATAGGACCTGGAATTAATCAGATGTTGGTAGTTAGGGCCAGATAGGGCTGTGAAGTCTCTGTGCTTGAGACTGCTTAGCTGGGGGATGATAGCAGAGATAACAGATAAAAAGGAGGCCCTATGCTAGATCCTTTACACCAATTAATTCGTTTGTCCTCCCACAGCCTTACAAGCTAGAAACTATTCTTCTCATTTTACAGATGAGGAAGCTGGAGCTCAGAGAAGTGAAGTCACTTGTCCAAGGCCACTCAGCAAGGAGGTGGCTGAACTGTGGATGATTAAAATCCAAGCTTCTCAGATTCCAAAACCTGTGCCCTTAATCTTTTTAGGGATAGATGGGTTTCCTCTTATTATTGAAGGGCCTACAAAGAAGGCATGGGGCCTTGAGAGATTTGGACTCTGGGGGGTACACAAGTGTAGGAAGCATTGTGGGGGCAGGGGGTTGAGGACTAAGCATGGAAACCTCAAGGGCTCTGAGAGGGAGCAAGTCGGAAGTGGGAGGGGAAACCGAGATTCCAGGAAGGGTTGGTCCCATGGATCACTTACCCTTGGACCATGGGCGAAGAGTGAGAGTGAGGGTGGATTCCACAGTCCTCCCCACTATTAGACATTGTAACCTGCTGGGGTTGTTTGGCCTTGGTTCACAGGAATCCTATCCAACCCTCCCTTCCCCAGGCCCTGGGCACTTACTTGGTCCTAGGCAGTTTGGGGGATTGGTACAGGATGTGAATTGAGATCTCAGAGATCAACGTGCCGCCCCCCACCATTCTCATGTATTGTCCTTTCAGGTTTACACATGGCCCTCTTCTAGGTAGGGTTTATTGTTCCCATCTTGCAGATGAGATTGAGGGAACAACCAAGTCTTTAGTGGATGAGACCACACCTGGAATTCTTTTCATCCCTGTCCCTGGACCCGGTGCGGAGCACCGTGGGTCTCTGGAAAGTCCCACAGTTGGTAGAAGGCCCTGTCCTCTTATCTACCTCTCCTAGCTCTTTCCTGTGTCTCCTCCCCCTTTTCTGGGTGGAGACTTCTGATCAACTATATGTCTGTACTTACGTGTGGGAGCTCTGGGCTTCCCACTGTGGTCTCAGGGATCTGAAATAAGCTGAACTCCCTTGCTTCCCCAGACCCTGACTCAAAGTGAGGAACTACTGCCCTCCTTCTAGGGGCAGAAGCATACATGCCCCAGGCTCTTTAGAGATAATTTTTCCAACCCTCTCACCTCACAGATGAAGAAATCAAGGCCTAGAAAAGGGCAGTGCCTGGCTCAGGATCATGCTGCAATTGAGGGGCAGTGAGACCTAGGACTCCTGACTCTCCGGGCAGGGGGTATATCTGGTCTGGGCTTAGAATTCCCTTCCTTTCCAAACAGGGAGGTCTGGGCTGCCAGATAGGGCTAAGTCACTGAGGGCCCGATAGGGAGCTTATGTTAAGTGTCCCTTATCAGACCTTATCTTAATAATGGTCCTTAACTCCACTTGAGATTTGAAGAGAGCACTATGAGTAGGTGGGATAGGAGGCTCTGGTGGCATGAGGAGAACATGATTTTGCAGCTAGTCAGAGGGCTCACATCCTGACTCTGCCCATTATTAGCTTTGTGACCTTGGGCAAGTCACTGACTCTGGGAAATGATGCGGGGATTTAGTGAGACCACATGTATCTCCATTGGTACTCTATACATGCTAGTTTATTATCTTTGTGTTGTAATTGGAGAGGCAGAAGGGCCTGAGAGGGCCCTTTACCTATCCCCACACTCAGAGACAGAGGCTCCCTCTAATGACACTTTGTATTTACACTTGGTTATGTGGCTTTAACTTTCTCAGGCACTCTGTGAAGTGGGTATTAGTCCCACTTTACAGATGAGGAGACTGAGGCCCAGAGAGACTGATGTATTTGTTCAAGGTCCGGAATCCAGACGTTCTCACTCCCAGCCTTTCCCTCTCCTGGCTTCGTGGTGGCTGAATATAGGTCTCTCTAGCATCTATAATATGAGGATAATCATGCCTTAAGGAACAAAGGAAAGGGCTGTGGAAAGTCAGAATTGCACCCTGACCGAGATTATTATATCATTGTTGGGAGCAGATACTGACCTGGAAGCTCATTATGACATTTATTAATATTATTGTAGCTAATTTCTCCCTGAGCTACTGCCGGTTCGGTTCCCCTAGGCGCCTGTGGCATGGGATCCTCCCCTCCCTATCCGAGGCACCCCCCCCCAATATTTACCTTAGAACCGGCCTGTCAGCTCTGCCCCTGTGAGGGTGGGGCTTCCCACTGAGGGAAGGAAGCAGGGGTTTCCCCTTCTGCAGAGATATGGTGCAGAGCTCCCCATTTTTGGACAGGGGTTGATGTCTGCAACTCCCCTTAACTCACTCAGATTTAGTAGTATTAAGGCGTTTGTAATGAGACCTAGGTTCGAATGTGGACTAGGGCACTTCCTGGTTGGATGACCTTGAGCAAGTCACTTTCTCTGGCCCTTTCTTGTGCTCTTGTAAAAAGGAAATGTCACACCAACCTTTCTGGTGTTGTACCAGACTGTAGAAGAAAAAGTATTTTGAGAGCTGTAAAGTGCCTCCACCTCAAAGCTTTTATTATGTTCATTTCCCTTTGTCTTGGCTCTAGGAGAATAAAATCTGCATATGCTCTGGGTTCTGTTTCCATGGGAAGGCCCTGGCCCCCTTGGGTCTTGATTTGTCCATCAGTACAGCAAGGGGTTGAGACTTAGGGCCTCTGAACACCCTGAACCCTGGCTTCTGGTCTGGCCAGCGGTAGTCAAACGAGGGGCGGGGAGGGGTTTGCAGGTCAGATCTGGAGGGTTCCAGCTCCTGAGCAAGGCCACCTGGGCAGCTGTGCCCTCCCCCCTCATTCCTCTCCCCTGAGTCAGGCCTGCCTAGCTGTGGGCGGGTCGCTGCCCCCGCCCCTTGCTCTGGAATGGGGCAGGTTGAGGCCTCACCCCATGGAGGATGTTGCCAAGACAGAGCATACGCATGCGCACAAACGCGTGCGTGGCCTTGGGAGCGGGGGGGGGGGGGCTCCCTCTCCCTGGTTCCTCCCTGTCCCCAGGCTTAGGAAAGCCCCAGAGTGGTGGGTACACGCACTTACCTTCATGTACACACAACCACCTGGCAGAGCCCTGCGTGAATCTGCAGTCTAGCCCGTGCATGAGGAGGACATGGACTAGGGTGGCCTGGGTGTGCTTTGTGGACCTGGTCCCGAGAGTGTCCAATGGGACATTTTGGAGGTGTTGCCCACCTACCTAGCTAGTGGACTGGATCTGAGCTCACGGAACTTGAATGTGTGCTTCCTGGTGTGCCCTGAGTGTTGGGGGCGTGGCCAGGAGCAAGGTGTCTTCTCAGATCCTGGCAGCCTCCTCCCTTAGGCAGGTGGAGGAGGAGGGGGAGGCTCAGGCTATACCTCTGGACTGCTGGAGCAGAAGGTCCTGGAACACGGACTCTTAAGTGTGCCCTTGGGAAAGGTCTTTCTATTCTCTGGGCCTGGGTTTCCTTCTGAGGTACCTGCCCTCCACCCGAGACTCAGGTTGCTGAGCCCCTCCCACAGGTGTGTAGACCTATATCTTTGGTGGCCCAGAGAGGCCTCAGGCTCTGGCCAAGCTGTGGGTGGGTGGAGGGAGCGGTGTTGCTGGGGCAACCAAGCAGTTATCTGGAGTGAGAGCCTTGGATCTGCCTGGGGAATTTGCAGCTGTGTCCCTGACTCTCAGCCCTGGGCCTGGGACCTTGAGGAGCTGATGTGCCCCATTCCTGACTTAGGAGCTCAGCCCTTGTTTACCTGGTTAGGGGGAAGCTGAAGACGACTTCGTCCTGCATGGTTAAAGTCTCCAGTTTTGGAGCCAACCAGAGCTTGAGAAATCGCCTAGCTCCCTGAGCCTCACAGGTCCAGGAGAGTATATTCCAGTACCTGCCTTAAAGAGCTATCATATGTTCCATGAGGGCAAAGATGTTTGCTTTCCACCAGTACCTGGCATGGTGCCTGGCATGAGTGAATTAATCATTTTGCAAGTGTTGGTCTACTTCTTTTTCTTTTTGAGTGGGACTAATAAGAGGGGTGGATGAGTCTGGCCCAAGTGGGAGTGAGGAGGGAAAGATGTGGTCAAGAAACCTTGAATTTGTGGCAATGATAGGGTCTCTCTGTCCTTCTGCAGAAGGTCGATCAGGTTTGTAGCTGATACAGTGGACAGAGCATGGCTTTTAGATTCAAATTGTCCCGAGTGCAAAAGCTACCCTGCCATTTACCAGCTTTATAATGCTTGCCCTCTCTGGCCTTCATTTCCTCATCTATAAAATGAGGATTAAAGTGCCTACTTCTTAAGATTGTTTAGATTTCAATGATTCGTGGATGTATACTATCCACCTCCATAGAAGTTTGTTTTCCGGACAGTGAAGGCTCCACTGTCTACTTGAGTGGTCTCTGAGAGGTGAGGCAGGAAATGAGGAAGGGGCTGCAGAGGGGTCTTGCAGCATGGGACCCACTGTGAATTCTTAGATACCTAGGAATTCAGAGAAAGATGTTAGAGAGGGATGTCCTTGGGCAATTTTGGGGGACAGCACTTTATAGTTCATAGACTTTCTCTGCCAGGGTCTCAGCTACACTTTTTGGAGTTGCCAGAGGATATCTTTTAACACCATTACTACCCAGCTTTACCTTCAGTACTACTGACCAAACTCCTGGGGCTCTGAATAAAATCTAGGCTCTGCCAAGGCCTATGGGGCCCTCTGCCTGATCTGGCTCCTGTCCTTTCATCTCCTGCCATTCTGTTCCTTGCTCACCATATTCCACTGGCTAATGTTCTGGAAAACCTACCACTCCTGCCTCAAGGTCTTCACACTTGCCTATACTGATGAACAAGATAAAGTCCTCTTACATTAATTATAGCCCCCAGTACTAGCTTAGTAAATAAGGCGATTGAATGAATCAATAGAATAATCTTAAAAAGAAGAATTATTGGCTTTGTTTCTTTACGAGGTCATGATGTGTGTGTGACAGAGCTGGATTTGAACCTGGACCCGACTTCCTCCAAGTACTGCTCCCCTAACTGTCCTCATGTCACCAAAGAACAGTTTCTCTGCTAATTCTCTTCTCTCTGCCTGATGATCCAGCAGAGTCATTGAGTCACAGAGTAAGGCCAGTGAGAAGAATCCTGGGCTGGAGGAGCAGTAGGTGTGTGTTGAAGTCCTGCCTCTGCAGTGTGACCTTGGACAGTCAGTTCACAATGCTTCTCTGATGTCACATTACCAAAGTGGGAAGAAAGTCCTTTGGAAAGTGTGGGGCTGAACATACACATCAGCCACTGTGATTCCACTCTGGGCATCTCCCTGAGCTGGCCCCCACCTCTGCAGGGGCCTCTGCCAATGGCCTTGCCATTCCCACAGGCAATCCTGATCTTCTGCCTTGCTGCTCCATGCTCTGAGTTCTTCCCCAGGGAATTACCCGGCACCAGACAGGAAGGCCAGAAGTGGGCACCATGCCAAGTCTAGTCTAGTCTAGTGGCTCTTCTACCTACCATCTGGCAGCTGGGAGCTCTGCCTTAGCTCTGGCTCCTGACTATTGAGAAAAGGACTTGGGGACGTGGTTAGTGGTCCGCCCCTGGAATTGAGTATCTTCAGCCCTCCTAGTCATACTGTCCACCAGAGCCGAGCACCCACACACTCCAGGCCTCAGTTTCCTTTTCAGAGTCAGAGGTTTCCTGCCCCTGCGCTCCACTTGAGGGGCGGGGTCGATAGAGAGGCGGGACCAGTGGAGAAGGTGGGAGGAGGACCTGGAGAGCAGCCCCTCCCCCTCCTCTGCTCTGCAGTTTGGCGGGCGGGCGGGCGGTGGACCCGCATCTCTTACCGCTGGGTTGTGGTGAAGGCGTCGCCTGGCGTTTTGGAGAGGTCGGGTAGGGACGGTGGCGTCCGCAGTTATGGTGGTGTTCCTGGGCCGCCACCTCCCGGCGCTCCTCGGGCTCTTTAAGAAGAAGGGTGAGTGGGTGTGGCTGCGGGGTTTGGAGAGGAGGGATCCCCGGACACTTCCATTTGCCAGACCCTTAGGTCGAATGGGGGATCAAGGCCGGGGAAGGGTAATGGGTGGGGGATGGGGCCCAGTAATGAGGCCAGGCTCCTCTGGCTGCCGCTGTGCCTTTGTCCAGCTGCTTTGCCGCTGCCTTTGTCTGGGCCCTGCATGTGTTTAGGAGGATGGATCCAGGTGTCTCTGACCTTGAAACCTGCAGTCCTTGGGCGAGACTGCCTTCCTCCAGGTGTACTCACACTTTGCTGGGTACATCCCAACATCTCGGTTCTGAGAGGCAGTGCATCCCCTCCCAGGTGTGTGTGTGGAAGGGACTTGGGGAGCAGATTAGAGGGAAAAGTAATGCCTCTGGAAGTTGTGGAGCAGGATCAGCGAATTCCTGTTTAGAGGTGTGGGGGTGGAGAAGTTTTGGAAGAAGGGGCCTGTACCAACTTCCTTCTCCTAAGAACTGGGCTTTCAAGCCTGGATTAAGATGTGGGAGCCAGAGTTTATTGGGATTTTGGGGGGCCAGAGGGTCTCCAGTTTGATTGTGATCCAGGAGTCCCCTCTGGGAACCTGGAATTTAGTTCTGGAGTTTAGTCTGACTCTGATTTGCTTGGTGACCTTAGGCAAGACCTTTCCTCTTTGAGCCTGTTTCCTGATTTATAAAATTGGGATTACGTGAGATGATCACTGACAGACTTTCTAGCTCTAATCTAGTGGGAATCCTGCAGATTCCCGGGGCAGGAGCTGGCAGTTGAAGAATAGGTTGAAGAGAGAGGAAAGGGCAGGTGTCTGAACTTAAGGTCCTGATCCCCGGGCGAGGCCCTTTAAAGGGATTATTTTCCTGCTCCTGTACAAGGTGTTGCCAAGGTCGCATGACCAACCCAGTGCTTTTTGCTTGTGTTGTGGGTTCCATTTAAAGGGGGGCTAGGGCTGCAAAGTGCTGACACAGGCCCCCATTCCCAGGATTAGATGACCAACTTCCCCACGGGCGGGGCTGGTAACAGGATCCTTTGTAATTGATCCCTGGCTCTGTTGGGGGGCATCAGGGCAGGAGCAGGGGATACCTGGGATAGGCTGGAGCTGCTTTGTCTGGGGATAGAGGGGCCTTGGTCCCTCTTCTCCCATCCCCTGCCTATCCTTCCACTAAGGGACAACCCATGGGTGAGTAGGGGACCTAAGAGGCCAAATCCCTGGTTTGTCCTCCCCCGCCCCCCAAGACTTCCTGGGAATCTGGTTATGACCCCTGCTATCCTCCACCCCTTCCTAATGTCCCATGGTCTCTTCTGCCTGGACCTGGGCCAAGGTGTATACAAAAAGGGTGTGTGTGTGTGTGTGTGTGTTTTCTGTAAAGTGAAGCTCAGGGTCTGGAGATAAGAGAAATGTATTTGCCGTGGGCTGTATGTATACTGGGGTGTCTTGCATGGGGCCCTGAGTGATGTGTGGATACACAGTTGTGTGTATGTTTGGGTAATGTTTGTATTTGTGCAGACTGGGGGCTGTGGGTGTTGTGTGTATACTTGGGGTAGTGCTCTGTGGGAGCCCCTGTGTGCAGTTTGGGTACACAGATGTGTTTATACTTGGTTGCTTTGTTTGTATACATACTGAAGTCTGCAGGTGTGTATATAGACTAAAGCCTGTGTTGCACGCATGTATGGTGGGCCTATGTGCCCTGGGTGAGGTGTCCTGTATGGGGCCCTTTCTGTGGTGTGGGTACTCAGGTCTCTGTATGCTTGGGTATAGTTTGTATATTTACATGGCACCCTGTGTGTATTGAGTGTGTACCCCAGAACTGTGGGTTGTGTGTACAGGTTGGTGGAAGTGGGCATTACATGTGTGTGCAGGGGCCGTGTACAGTCTGGGGACTGTGAATGCCCTTGTTGTGGTGCCTGTGCATCCCCAGAGCGAGATGCCTGTGTACAGTCTGGGGACTGTGAATGCCCTTGTTGTGCCTGTGCATCCCCAGGGCGAGATGCCCTCAGGCCTCACTTCTCTTCCTCTTCCATCCCACTAGGCTCTGCCAAGGCTGAGAGCGACAAACGTCTAAGTGTAGGGCCTGGTCAGGGGCCAGGGTCTGTAGTGGATGAGCACCAGGACAATGTCTTCTTCCCCAGTGGGCGACCGCCTCACCTGGAAGAGCTGCACACGCAGGCCCAGGAGGGGCTCCGTTCCCTACAGCACCAAGGTGACCTTTCCCTCTCCTCCAGTGCTACTCTCAGCTCCCAAGGTGAGAGGCCTAGCCTAACACACCTTTCTGGTATCTTCCAGAAAAACAAAAACTGAACAAGGGTGGCTGGGACCATGGAGACACCCAGAGCCTCCAGGTGAGCCTTCAGCTCAGTCTGACTCTACTCTTCCCTCCCTGCTTGACGCCTGGCAAGTATGTCTCTGAACCTTCTGGATCTTAGCTTCCTTCCTGTATCCTGAATGGCTGGACTAGATGACCCCTAAGGGGTAGTCCAGCTGTTGCCTGCTCAGTGCTAGGTGATGCTGGGGGCAATCTGAGTAAGAAATTCCAGAGGGAAGCCCCGAAGAGGCAATAGTAAGCTCTACCCAGGCCTCTGAGGTGGTTCTGGGTCTGAGGCCAGGGCCTGATCCCCTTCTTCCCTCAACAGTCCTCTCGGATGGGGCCGGATGAAGATAGCATCTCCTTCTGCAGCCAGACCACATCGTACACTGAGAGCTCCACAGCAGAGGATGCTCTCTCCATCCGCTCGGAGATGATCCAGCGCAAAGGTGTCTGCTCCCCAGCTAGGATTTTTGGACAGGGGAGAGGGGTAGTGGACACCATCTGGGTCTCAGCACCTGCAGCTTCCCCCTTTCCTCCTAATCTAGTGTTTCTCAAGGCTCTGCAAATCAGTGAATTCAGGAAACATAGTACCCTGTGTCCTCTGGGAGAGTCATGATGCACAGTAACTGCAAAACAGGACAGTTAAGTGAGGAAACCTGGGTTTGAGCCTGGTATTGCTACATATCAGCTGTGTGACCTTGGCCCAGCCCTTAACTTCTCTGAGCTTCTGTTATTGGAATGCATGCCAAGTGTTTAGCATGCTAACACATAATAAGTGTTCACTGAATGGAAGTTATCATTATTGACCTAGTAAAGCCTTCTAGAAGTCTTAAAGAAGAAATGTTTAGCTTTGTTTAACCTAGTTTTGTCCACGCCTACTTGACTCCGGAAATCTTTTTTTGCAGAGCTCTTATTAATATCTTACAAAAGTATTGCCTTGCAGAATGTCCTGAGACCTGCTCTAACAGTTTCTCTCCCCTGGAATGACCCCTAGGCTCCACCTTCCGACCCCATGACTCATTTCCCAAATCATCTGGAAAGTCAGGGAGGCGTCGGAGGGAACGGCGGAGCACAGTGCTAGGACTGCCTCAGCACGTGCAGAAGGAACTCGGTGAGCCCTGGGTTAGGCGGGTGGCGGTGGTTGGTGAGTAGTGCTGGCTAACCCCTCTGCTGATGCCCACGTCCTCCCTGTCCATTCCAGGCCTGCGGAATGAGCGGGAGGCCCCAGGTACTCCTCGGCCTCCTGGTCCACGGGATGCCGTACGAATTCCCACAGTGGACGGCCGCCCGGCGGGCCTGGCCTCGGGAACAGGGGTCCGGGTATCCTTGCAGGTGCTGGAGGCAGAGGCAGAGGCTGGGGCCAAAGCAGAGGCCATGCTGCAACGCCACATCAATCGCGTCTACCGGGATGACACCTTTGTTGGCCGGTCCACAGGCGCCCAGCCCCCACCAACGACCCGGCCCATGTCCCTAGCAGTACCTGGACTGACAGGAGGGGCAGGGCCTCCAGAGCCCCTGAGCCCAGCCATGTCCATCTCACCCCAGGCCACCTACTTGTCGAAGCTGATCCCACATGCTGTGCTGCCACCCACAGTGGACGTGGTGGCCCTGGGCCGCTGCAGCCTACGCACACTGAGCCGCTGCAGCCTGCTCTCGGCCAGCCCGGCCTCCGTCCGCTCCCTGGGCCGCTTCTCCTCGGCTTCCAGCCCACAGCCGCGCAGCCGCCACCCTTCCTCTTCCAGTGACACCTGGAGCCACTCTCAGTCCTCCGACACCATTGTGTCTGATGGCTCCACCCTCTCCTCTAAGGGTGGCTCTGAGGGCCGGCCAGAGGGCTCTGTGGTTAGCAATAGTGGGGCACCCCCTCCTCAGGGGGGCAGCGGGAGGGGATCTCCCAGTGGGGGCAGCACTGCTGAGGCCTCGGACACTGTCAGTATTCGAAGCAGCGGGCAGTTGTCCGGCCGGAGTGTGTCCCTACGTAAGATGAAACGGCCCCCACCACCTCCCTGCCGGACCTACTCGCTCCGTCAGCGGGGCTCAGCAGCCCCTGATGGGCCCTTGGGGTTGCCTCCCAAGCCGGAGCGGAAGCAGCAGCCACAGCTGCCTCGGCCTCCCACCACTGGCGGGTCAGAAGGGATAGGAGCAGCACCCTGTCCATCCAGCTCAGCAGGCAGCTGGGTGCCTGGCTTGTCTCCGGGTGGTTCCCGGCGTCCCCCACGCTCCCCAGAACGGACTCTCTCACCCTCCAGTGGATACTCAAGCCAAAGCGGTACCCCTACTCTCCCTCCCAAGAGTCTAGCAGGAGCACCTGCTTCCCCAGGCAAGGTCCAACCCCCTAAACCAGAGCGTGTCACTTCCCTCCGAACTCCTGGGACTTCTGTCTCCTCCTCCCTCACATCTCTGTGTTCCTCCTCTTCTGACCCAGCCCCTTCAGATCGTTCTGGTTCACAGATGGCGACCACCTCGGGTGACAGGTTTGTCATACCTCCTCACCCCAAGGTGCTTGCCCCCTTCTCTCCACCTCCCTCCAAGCCCAAGAGTTCTAACCAATCTGCCCCTGCTCTGGCTGCCCCTGCTGTGGTCCCTGGGCCCAACTCTGCCACTGACGCCATTCCCAAGTCCCCTCCAACTCCACAGACATACCTGACCCCACCACAGGAGTCTCCCATTCCCTCTAAAGACCGGTCACCCCCACCATCCCCACCCCCATCTTACCATCCACCCCCACCACCCACAAAGAAGCCAGAGGTGGTTGAAGAGACCCCATCTGCCCCACAGACTACTGAGGAGCCCCTCCAAGATCCCAGCTGGCCCCCACCCCCGCCTCCTGCACCTGAGGAGCAGGACCTGTCCATGGCTGACTTCCCCCCACCAGAGGAGGCCTTTTTCTCTGTGACTGGCCCTGAGCCTACAGGCCCTTCAGAACTCCTGGCCCCTGTCAGCTCCCTGGCTGCTTCACCTTCCTCAGCTACTGTTTCTCCCCACATTCAGCCCCATGATACCACAGACCCTCCAGCTCCACCAGCTCTACCTGCTGGTTCTGTCACAGGGTTTCCGGCCAAACTCCCTCAGAAGGAACCAGTGGGCTGCAGCAAGGGCAATGGGGTTCCCAGGGAGGATGCCAGTGCACCCCTGGTTACGCCCTCACTTCTGCAGATGGTTCGGCTGCGTTCTGTGGGTGCTCCCACAGTGGCTCCAACCCCAACAACGATGCCATCAGCCCCCCAGAAGCCACTACGAAGGGCCCTGTCAGGGCGAGCAAGCCCAGCACCTGCCCCTTCCTCAGGGCTCCATGCGGCCGTCCGACTCAAGGCCTCCAGTCTGGCTGCCAGCGAGGGCCCTGCGAGTGCCCAGCCTAATGGGCCGCCTGAGCCAGAGCCACGGTCTCCCCAGTCCCCTGCCTCTACGGCTAGCTTCATCTTCTCCAAGGGCACTAAGAAGCTGCAGCTGGAGCGGCCCGTGTCCCCTGAGAACCAGGCTGACCTCCAGCGGAATCTGGTAGCTGAACTTCGGAGCATCTCAGAGCAGCGGCCACTCCAGGTCCCAAAGAAGCCACCTAAGGCTCCCCCACCTGTGGCCCGCAAGCCTTCTGTGGGAGTCCCCCCCTCCACTTCACCCAGCTTTTCTCGGGCTGAGCCCCTTACTGCTCCTCCCACCAATGGGCTCCCTCATGCCGAGGACAGGACTAAGGGGGAGCCATCGGAGAATGGAGGTGTCATGCAGCTGGTGGGCCTAGAGGAGCAGAAGCTGGGTCCGCCTGGCTCAGGTACAGTGGGCAGTGATGGGATGTGGGTCCAGTCACTGGTGATGGGAATAGGTATCTAAGTTTCACCGTAAGGGATTTGCTCTTGGGTCTTTTAAGACTTCTGGCCTCAGGATGCCTGGGAAAGGTGAATGGTCACTCTTGAACTACAGTGAAGGAGCATGGTGCATGGGGCTTTGGTGTCAGAACTGAGTTTGAATTACAACTTTGCCATTTAAATGTATATCTATAGCTTCAAGCTCCTCACTGTCAAGTGTAGGGCAATGATGCCTACATCATGGTATCAGAGGTAATGTTTGTGAAGTGTCTAGCTCAGTGCTGCTGGCGTGGTCAGTAAATTGAGGGGGTGAGGTGAGGATGTTGCTTGGGCTCTTACTGGCCAGGACCACCCTTGCTGAATGTGTTTTTTTCCTACAGACCCACAGAAAGAGCTGGTCTGACCACCAGGCACCTCACTGGCACTGCTGACCCATCCCAGGAATATAATCTCAGGGACCTGAGCAGCTCCAAGGATGAGAGGATACGGCAGACACTTAACCTAATAGAGAGGTTGCCTGCAGCCTTAACCTCCATGGCCTTCAATATTTATGCAAGCCTGGTGTTGACCCTGTGTCCTCCAAGTCATCCAGCTCATGCCTTTTTCCGAATGGAGTCACCTCTAGAGGCTGCCACTTCAGTCTTGGCCTTAGCCTCATCTTGAAGGAGGTAGTGGGTGAGAATGGGTGGTTGCGCCCCCTGCTGGCCCCGAGGCCAGAGTTCGGAGCAGAACACCTCACTTGAGTTAGTTTCTTTTTTTTTCATGTCCAAATCATGCACATACTGTAGTCCAGGATCGAAGCACTTTTGGAAAGGGGCTGCATGTCCATCCTTCAGTGTCCATGAAGCCGCATTCCAGGGGTCTGTTTACTTGGCAGCAGCATCATCAGTCTCCAGTAGCCAGCCCATAGCTAGGACCATCCTCTCTCTCCCATAGTTTGCTCCTTAGTTCTTGGAGGTGGGCAAGTCATTGTATTCGCACAAGCTTCTCTAGGCTGGAGGCAGGAGCGAGGCTGTGGAATTCCAAAGCACAAAAGGTGCAGTGGGGGTTAACCTTCGTGTACCTCAACTTACCACCAACCACTCTCCTGCCTTGCAGTTCTGTTAGGTGCTCCATGTAGGGGACAAGAAGTGGGAGACTGTCAGGGCCCAAATGGGTAGGGGAAGAAAGAATCGGGAGATCCACAGATTCTGTCCTCAGAAAGCAGAATAGTCTAGGGAGTCATCTCGGGGGCACTTGGCAATGCCAAGTATCTGCCTTGTGCTTCACCTGATCAGGCTGGGGTGGGCAGTCACAGCGCTTAAGAGGCAGGAGCAGCCCTTGGGCTGTGGCAAAGCTGTGTCACTATCAGCTCCGCAGGGAGTACCGAGATGGACAGAGGGGAAGGTCTGGCAGGGGGAGAGCTTATTTGGGCAGTGGGCCCAGATACGGCCCTGCAGAGTTCCTTCTCTGATGTTTCTTTTGTCTTGGTGCCTGTCCTTTCTGCAGCTGCCTTTCAGCACAGGTGGTTCCACTGGGAGGAGCTGATGCTGAATGACAAGGATGGGAAGCCAAAGGTGCATTCTATTCCAGACTCTTCCCTAGTCAGTGAAGGAGCCACTCAGTGCTTTGAGGGAGCAGGCTGGTTGGTTGCCCACTAGACCTCTACTGATCTCTCCAGGAATTTTAACATTTGTTTTGAGCCTGCTGGCTGAAGTAAGCCGGCTTCCCCATTGTTCTCTGTGGCTCCACAGTGACTTGGGCTTGAGTCTGGCAAGGAACCTTGCTTTTAACCGTTTTCCTTCCACCAAGGAGATCGATCCCCTCCCAGAAAAACAGCTGGGAACACGGGATGTGGTAGAAGCCCAGGTTTTTCTGGTTCTCTCATTACCGTCTTTCCCCTGTAGCTGTAAACCAATGTTCTTCTCTTGCCTTTCGGGTAATGGAGGACTGCAGGTACATGTTGCACCTGCCCAGTGAGTTGGGGAAAGAAGATGGTCAGTAAGCATTGCTCTGCTCAGCTCCTGATCCAAACCTGTGGGAACGAGGACCGGGCCAAGGCCTCCATGAAACCAGGTCTTGGCAGCAGCTCCAGGGCTGCTGGAGGGAGTTTGAATTCTTTCCCTCCTTTCCCCTCTCAATGTTACTCGAGCTCCTTCTTCCTCAGAATCTTCTGAGCTTATTTCTCCACTGGGTGAGACAGATTACAAAGGAGAAGGGAGGATCTAGAAGAAGCAACCATTCTTTGTCCTCTGGGGTAAATGAGCTTCATCTAGTGCAAATGGAGAGATCAAAAGCCTGATTTTTAATTTCCATAAAAATGTTAGAGAAATATATATATATATTTCTTTAAATTTTTGAGTCTTTGATATGTCTGTACAATCCATTCCTTCTCCCCTGAAGCCTGAGTGAGACACATGAAAAAGTTCTGTTTCATTCAAAGGTGTTAATTAAATGATTAAAACTTGGCTGTGGGTATTGCTTCTTAATGGGGGAGGGACGGGGTGGTGGTCTGGGCCCACATTTAGAAGGGCGAATGTTCACCTTACTGAAAGCACTGGATCTCAAAGTGGGTCTCGTCTGCTGTGTACTGCCAAATGCAAAGTCAGTCACATGTTCGTCCGCCATCTTCTGTGCCTCCCTCCCCCATCCCACCCATTATAGGGTCAAAAGCCCGATACAAGCAGCCCCAGGCTGGGTGAGGGGCTCAGCAACTGCTACACACTGGTGTTCCTCAGTCCTGAGGTGGTCTAGTTCACAGACAGGCCCCTTTCAGACACTCAGACACCCTTTTTGGGACATTTTATTTGAATTCATGATAGAGACTGCGATGCCTTATGGAGAAGTACCCCACCCTCTATGAAGAACCGGTCTGTATCATCCACCTTCTGGTGTTAACGACGCAGCTGGTTTAGGGAATGTCCCAACCTCGCGGGAGCGAGGGAAATTCCAAGAGCCCTGGGGTAGGCTCAGTTCCCAGTGCCAAGCCTCAGCTGGCAGGCATTGGCAAAAGCTGCCAACCACCTGGTAGACCACTAGGTTCTCTGTTTTCCCTTCTCTTTCCTTTTCAAATCCCACAATTTCCTGTTGGGGAGAAGCTGTAATTAGCCCAGTTCTGGCACCAGATCCCAGGCAGAGGCATAGTTGCTGGGATAACTCTAGGAAAACCTAGGAATTAGTATTTTTCCAATTAAGATTGTGGTATAAACTTTTTCTGTGAGTTATAATGAAACCAGATTTCTCAAGTCAGCGTCCAAGGCAAGAAGGTAGAGCTGGACTCCCTGTTGCTGCTGTGCCCTTGTTACTACCTGGGAGGTCAGCCTCTCACTGCAGCCAAACTGGGATGACCCTAGATTCTGAGGAGGTTGAGCTGCCTCTTAATTGAGTTCTGCACCTAATAAAGTCCCAAATTTCCTGCTTCAGTGTCCTGGGAGATGAGTAAATGGGTGATAGATGGAGTAAATTGAGGAGACAGCAGATGGTACAAGATAACAGAAGGAAGATGCTGGGTTAGCTAGCTAATGTTTCCCCCTTTCAGTGATTTACAGGAGATGCATCCCAGCTTGGTCATGAAGTTGGTTTCCTTCCACTGTGCGATGCGCTCCTCAGAAATTTTAAAGTCAGCCTGGACAAGAAACAAAAAAAAGTGATTATAGTGATGGTGGGTGGGACTGCAAGAGAACTCTTTTACGAGTAGTATAAACTAATTCAGCTTCTCTCAAGAGAGCAGTTTGTCAAAAGCTTCCATGTTCACATCTTTTGAGTAAGGTAAGCCTGAACCATCGCTAGAAGCAAAAAGACAAAACTGAAGCTGGCCTACTTCAGACAGATCACGAGAAGGCAAAGTTCCTTAGAAAAGACACTAATGCTGGGGAAAAATAGAAGGCAGCAGAAAAAGAGGAAGCCCAAACATGACTCCATAAAAGAAGCCAAAGGCACGAGCACAGGAGCTGAGCAGGGCTGTTGAGGACAGGACACTGTGGACATTACTCATGCATAGGGTCACCAGGAGTTGGAGCCAACACAATGTCACAAAGTTCATTTTAGAGATTTAGTTTAAGAAAATAATCATGAATAAGCGCAAAGCACTATGTACAAGGACATCATCATAGCATTCTAATAGTGAAAAACAACACCCTCAATGCTTGATAAGGTTAAAAGATTTGGTTCAATTATGGTAATTATGACACAATACTATACAATACGATACTCCTCAATATTTAGGAAGCTGGGGAAGTTTTTCAGGCATAAAGTTACCCTACCCCCTAAAAAAAGAATAAACATGGCATGCCTCAAACTGTAACTACATTTATGTCTAGAAAAAGTCCAGAAGGAAATTATCACTAATGACATTTTTCAATATCTCTAGGTGGTAGGACTATGGGTATTTTTTCTTAATTTAATTTCTCCCTATATTTTACACATTTCTACACTGAAAATGTATTTTATAGCCAGAAAAAACTAAGTTAATTTATAAAACCATCCTGGAAAATCAGGAAAGGAGGAGGGGACAAAGCCATCTGGCATGGACAGGAGGATGAGGAAGTAGAAACCACTTGAAATGCTGTCCAGAAACACTCTAACTGAGGAAATAGGAAATAAGTTATTAACTAGGAAAAGTCACATAAGTAGTGTTAGTTCCAAGAGGAGAGTGAATTTTTGATGTTTCACACTGATGTAGCCTAAGCACCTAGAACAGTGCCTGGTATATATATTATATATATTAGGGACCCAGTATTTGTTGAATGAATGAATGAAGGGGTCACAGGGGCAGGCCGTACGTGAGCCAATGCCCCAGGAGAAGAGAGAATGAGTGCTCAAGATCAAGATGAGTGGGAGGGACCGTGGGAGAGTTTTGATCTTGGCCATCGCTTCAGGGGACCCTGTGTGACCTTGGCAGGTATCCCGCCAAGTAAAATGGAGATCATCTATCACAGACTGAAGACCAAATGAAGAACTGTCTGACATCCCTCATACACTGCCTCAAGTGGCCTGTCAGTGCTCAGTACATGCGAGGGCCCCCATGCTCCTTAGATACTTCATTCAGAAAGGTCTGGAAAGAGGAAGAGGGGGCTTAGGTGCAGGAAGGCCCAGTTGGGAAAAGGGCAGGTTTGGATTCAAAAACAGCAGCCTGGGGACACAGTTCAGGCAAACCAGGTAAGAGGGGATCAACTGCAGCTTTTACCTGCAACTTCTCAAAGACTTTCTTCTTTGGCTTGAGCTCTTCATCTGGTTGGCCCTTCTCGTAGCCCTTCACAAACACTCGCTCACCAGGAGCAGAGCCTGCAGGAGGATCCAGAGGCTCAACCTTGCGGCTGACCCCTTCTCTGGGAAGACACACACGAATAAGGAAAGCGTGAGGCTACAGACTGCTTCCAGCTGCCACGGAGGCCAAAGCATTAGGGCTTTTACATGGGGTCCCTACTGAGATTTAGATATCCCACTGCCAGAGCCCCAGGAGGCCCTCACTACTCCACCACTGGTCTGGACATTATCAGGGTTGGGTTAACCAAGGCTAAACTGAAATGGACAGATTCTGAAATCTGGGTTCTTAGGGGAGGAAGTATGACAGAAAGAGCAAGGTCTTAACAGCCAATCAGAACTGTGTTTGAATCCTGGCTCCACCTCTTATTAGTAGTGAGAGGTGGGCATGTACACACTGCTTTGAACCTTCAATTTGTTTTAATAAAAGTTAACTACGTAAAGTGCTTCATTCACAGTACTCGTACAATAAATAATTCCTTCATGCACCATTTTTTGGCCAGTGTTCTCAGGGCTTCCACCTGGCACATAGAGGGGCACCGTGTGGGCCAATCCCCTCTCTTCTTGGCCTCCCCAAGTCCTGCGCCCCACCCCAAGTCCTCACTCACATAGAAGCACACAGAAGCATGCCTTGAGACTCGACTCCTCTCATCTTCTGGGGTTTCAGATTGCACAGCACCACCACCAGCCTATCCTGCAGTTCCTCCTTGGGCACAAATTGTACCAGGCCGCTCACCACAGTCCGTGGCTCAGATTCCCCCACATCAATCTTCTCCACATACAGGCTGTCTGCATCTGGGTGCTGCCAGTGAGAGAGGTCAGCTCTGGAGAGTGTCACAATGGAATACATCATGGGGCCTGGTGAACCCTCTGACTCCAGAAAGGGACATCCACTCCCTACAGAAGCCCCTGAGGGACCCGCTAGAGCTAACTCTCTTTCCAGGTCCCACACAGAAGAATGGAGAACAGGTCTTGAAGGTACATTCTACTCTCAGCCAAGAGGCAGGATGTGAATAAAACAAGCCTAATTACTTGCATAAGAGATGAAAGGAATCTCTAAGAGAGATTAAGTGGCCTGGACTATCTGGGTGGCTACCAGTATGGCCACGTGCTGCACCAACTTGGTCCTGGGTGGAAGATGGGAGAAGGACATCTGCTGGTGTCACCATCTGAAAGCATTGGAGGTTACTTCAAAGTAGTTTTGGTGGCTGGGTCTATATAGTGAAAAGCCAATCAGTGCTTGGAGGAATAAAAGCCCCTAACAATGGTCCCAGGCCACTGACTGCAAAACCTGTCTCTGGAAAAAAGTCCTTCCCCCTTCGTGTGCGTGCGTGCGTGCGTGCGTGTGTGTGTGTGTGTGTGTGTGTGTGTCTGTCTCTGTCTCTCTCTGTCTCTCTCTCTCTCTCTCTCTCTCTGGGGGAGGGAGGGGAGAGTTTGTTTGGGAAACAAAGTGAATGATCCAAGATAAGGCCTGCAGCTAGTCCAGACAAGCTGGTAGAGACCAGGTGAGTCCATCAGACTGGATTTTACATAAACAAGTTCCCTCTGACTAACATCCACCTGCCCCCCAACCCCCAAGCTGAGTTCCTAGCTGTGTTTGGTTGCATAAGGCCCAGAGGCAGCAGAGGGAAAAGCCTGATGCCTGGAATTAGACACCTGGGTTCTGAGTTGGACTATGACTTCTGAGATGTTACTTCCCATCCCAGCCTAGGTTTCCTCCAGATGGAAACAGAAAAACCTGACCCCTATCTGCCTCTCTGGGATGTGGTGAAAGATGAGTACCTTGTCCACACTAACAACTTTTCCCACACGGATATCTAGTCGGGATGGGATGATCTCCTCTGGTTCTGAATTCTTGGCAGGGCCTTTGGCAACTGGCTCTGGAAATGAGAAGAACCCCAATGGGTCAGAACTATCTTCCTTCCCCATGACAGGTCAACTGCTGATCCCACCAAATGAGGACATTAGCAGCATTTCATGCAGAATCCCCAGAATCTACCCACTAATTCTATCTTCCTTCCTCTGTCTATCTATCTAACAAATCCTTCTTCCTTAATTTTACCGGAAAGATTTACAGAATTAGTTATTATATATTCATGTAGGACTTCATTATGGAAGTAGCAAACTGAGGACCTGAGTAGGAAATACCATTAATATTGTTTCACAGAACGTGGGAGTCCTGATCTCTATTTTACAACAGTCCAGACTTTTCTTGATCAAGTTAAAAGTGACCTTAGCATGAATGCTACTTCCGAGTTATAGCTTCTTTAAAACAGGATCGGCAACCTTTGAGAAGTGACACGCTTCAGTTAATAGGCAGGGAGGGGAAAGTAGTAGCTCTGCCATCTTTAGGTATTCCCATTCATGCATTCCACACTTATTTACTGAGTCTTTTCTGGGAGGGGTGGATGGCCAACTAAGAGCAAGTCAGAAGCCCATGGAAGGGAACTGGGCAAATCTAAAGATGAGCTCTCCTGAGAAGCTGTGCAGGCTTCCCTGTGAAGCCTGAGCAGGTGTGTCACCCTTGTGGTCTAACCCATCTCCTTAACTGAAGATGATTTAGTGAAAGGATCAAAGCACATGTCTCACACCAGCAACTCTCAGCAGTGTTGGTATAAGTGGATGTAATCACTTCACATTATCCATCAAACCAAAATCAAGATGACCCAATTCCATTCCAGGAGTCAATAGGAATGACATTCTTGCACTTCAGATCCCCTGGCTCCCTGGGCCCTCAGTTTAGGACAGACTTTTTTCTGAGGCCCACTGACAGGCTATCTATCCTGATGATGCCAACCCCCTTCCCAAGCCCCTTCCCTCCCCCACTGGCCTTACTCTGCTTCGAGGGATCTGGGTAAGCAGCACTGGACAGTTTCTTCAGGGCAGGGGTGCTAAACTTTTCCCGGATGGGATCCAACAACTTGTTCAGGGCAACTTCGACAGAATTTTTTAGGTCTCCAGGGTGAACAACCTGCAAAAGTGTAGCGGTCTGGTGAACTAAGGCACTCAAACAGGGCACAGGACACCTGAATCTACTACGAATAATGTGGTATAGGATGCAGGGTATTTTCCTAGCAGTAAGAACCACCTTGTGAAGCTGGTAGGGCAGAGAAGGGGAAATAGGTTCAGAAAGCTTATCTAACTTGTCTGAGATCCAGATCTTTTGACCCTGAGTCTGATACTAACTTGAGAGTTTTTAGAGGCTAAATGTCAAAATCTTCTAGTCCCTCCATTTATGCTAAGAGTAGGGGCATAAAGCAGGCGTCATTTATAGGCAGAGAAAGATTTACATAGGTAACCGTAGGGCTAAAGCCAGCCCAAGGGGGGAGCTGAGGGAGCAAGAAGGAACAAGAGCTCTGGAGTTAGGCAGACTGGGGTTAGAGTCCCAGGCAGCTGTGTGACCCCAAACCAGGCACCTAACCCCTCTAAGTTTTGGATTCTTCGCTTCAAAAATGAAGATAACAAAACCTTTATCTCGCAGAGTCAGAATGGGGATTAAATCACCTAATGGCTGAAAATGATGAACGGTACCACCACATGGGAGTTCAGTAATTCAATTTTAATTAATTGGGATAGAATTCACTTTTCTATCCTAAATCTGGCCTGAAAGGATCTTCTAGATATTCTGAGGGGATATCCTTTAGGTAGGAATACCTGCAATACAACGATGCCTATAGATTGCTTCTGATGCTATTTCTTCATTTCCTTCAGAATGTTTAATAATAGAAAAGCTTTAGACCTGCACTGTCCAATATGGCAGCCACTAGCCTCATGTGGACATTTAAATGTAAATTAAGATTCAGTTACTCAGTTGCACTGGTCACACTGTAAGGCTCAAAAGACTCATGTGGCCAGTGGTGGCTGTGTTACACCATACCATCACATCTGCCATCACGGAAAGTGCTATCGGGGTTAATGCTGCTCCAGGTTTTTTATTCAAAATCATTTCTTCTATTCCTCCTCGTTACTCCCACAAAGAACAGTTCACAGGGTTGAGGAGGGGAGTGTGGGTTCTGTGGCCTGCCTCAGACTGCAAACAGAAGGGCTGCTGAGCAACGGCTGTCAAATATCCAAAAACTGGGCCTTGAGGACCCTCAGACCTCAGAGGTCACTGAGTCTTCCTCCATTTGATGCCCAAACCCTCAGACAACACTGCTTCCAGTGGTCCTCTGGCTTCTGCCGGAACACTTCAGTGATGGGGAACACAAGGCCAAGTGAGGCGGCCCTGTCCATGGCCACATAATTAAGGTCATTGGGAAGTTCCTCCTGAAGCTGAACCTAAGCATGCCTCCCTGCGGTCCCCGCCTGCAGTCCTGGTTTAGCCATCTGGCGCCACAAGAGGAAAACTAACCCCTCTCCCATTAGGGTCCTTCAGATACTTGAGGATGATTGAATCCATACTTGTTTCTCAGCTAAACATGCCCAGTTCAACTGTGCTTTTATGACATGGTTTTGAGTTCCCTATCATGACATCCTTTCTCTCCCCACGATTGAATCCATACTTGTTTCTCAGCTAAACATGCCCAGTTCAACTGTGCTTTTATGACATGGTTTTGAGTTCCCTATCATGACATCCTTTTTCTCCCCACCAACACAACTGGATTGTCAAATAAACCTCATAAAAAATTGAAGTCCGGGGCTGAACACACAATCCTAAATATAATCAGAACAATGGAGAACTGAATGGACTATCAGTTCCCTGGTTCCAGGATCTACCTTTCTGATGACTTAGGCCAAGTTGGCAGCCCTGTCATATTGCCGCCTCAACTCAAATTCAGAGTCAATCAAAAGTCCCCATTTTGTTCTCCATATACACTATTATTATGTCTTCCCTTTATGATTTGGCTCTGCCTCTCTTTCCCACAATGCTCTACCTCACCTTTTAGACTCTAATCAGACCAAACCACTTGTGACTCCTTATGTACCACGCTGTTTCCTTTTACCATGTCTTTGCACAATTAATTTCCTCACAGATTCCCTCATTATCTTAATGCTTAAGTGTTTGGTTGTTATCCCCTCTACAAAGCTTTCCCAGACAGTCAGTTAATCACTTCCACTTATTTTATTTCTAGACCATGTATGAATCTTCACTGTGCAGTAAGACAGGAAATGATATTTGTTTCTATGTCTCCCTCTCCTACTGGACTGGGCTTCATGATGATTTAATCTTCTTTGTAATGCCAGCCCCTAGCATGATGCCTAACACATGGCCACCTAGTAAGTCTTTTGTTAACCTGTTTATTGAAATGAATAGTGTCCTCTCTTCTGTTCTTTTATAGTTGTATCTCTTCTTTGAACCTTGATCTTGTACTTGTCCTTGAAATACTTTATCTTGGGTTGGATTTGGTCCTTCATTCCAGGTTAAGTCCTTTGGAGAGTGATTAGGACATCAACCAATATATCAGCTTTGTGCCATTTGCCCATCTAATCTGTGAACCATTTGGATCCTCATCTAAGCCATTAACAAAACATATAGCCTTGGAGAGTATCTATTCAGATTCTATGGTACATAACCAGAAACCTGGCTGGGACAAGATGGAGAGGTTATTCAGGATGAGTTCAGTGGGGATTATGCCTCCTCTGGTATTACCTCGGCAGCAAAGTCCTTTTCCAGGTCCAAGTAATCTGTGTAGGTTTTGTTTCCACCCCATTTTTCATCTCGAAGGACCACAAACTCTATAAGAAAAAGGATTCACACCAATAAACTCACTGCTAATGGCAGAGTCATTATTCCTAGACTAAATGTATGGGTATTTGTTGTTTCTGCCATATATTTCAAATTTTATTATTGGGCATTTTATTTTTTTTTTAAATTGGATTACAGGCCAGGTTGTATACCCAGCTAGTATCCAAGCTCAAGGGGAAGGATAGTGTCTTACATTTCTTTTTATTTCTCTAGTTCAACATGCCTGCCCCAACCCTCATTCCTACCACCTCTGCCTACCATGACACCCCATTAGAATCCAACCTGGTAACAACACGTGGACAACTAAATGATATCTCAACTCCAACCATACATTAATATATGAGAATTCAGAGCAGAGAGTCAGAGAAGTCCGTCCCTAGAGGAAGACTCTGTGACTAATCACAAATGTGATACAGTGTATGATTATAAGTTCGATTACTACTAGTTTTGCTATTTCAGCCTGGTCTCTGAGATGAAAACAGGGAGTGTCTTACCAGATTTGAGGGGAAAGAGGACATACTTGATGAAGGACAGAACCCCATTGTTTTCTACATTTCCTGGCTCACAGAAAGCCTTCTTCAGTTTTTTCTTCACATCCTCCTTCCGATCAAGGAGATCAATCTTGGATTCCTAGAAGCCATAGAGGAAAAGAGGACCTCTTGTGGTTGAAAACAAAAATACGCTGTACTAATCTGTGTACAGTTGACCCTTGCACAACACAGGTTTGAATTGAGCAGGTCTACTTATATGCAGATTTTTAAAAATAAATATATAGAGCACTGAAAATGTATTTTCTCTTCCTTATGCCTTTTCATGTTCCCCCCCACCTTTCAGCTTACTTTATACAGAATACAGTATATAATACACATACCAGAAAAAATATGTGTTAACCAACTATTTTATCTGTAAGGTTTCCGGTCAATAGTAGGCTATTAGTAGTTAAATTTTTAGGGAGTTAAAAGTTATATGTGGATTTTCAACTGTATGGGGGGGGTCAGCTTCCTAACCCCTGCATTGTTCAAGGGTCAACTGTATTTTAATTTTTTAAAGAAAGATTTAAACATTAAACAACTTTAACAAAAGCAAAATTAATCAGAGTGAAAGACCACTCTCAATACTGCCACCCAATAAATAAAACTATTTTAATTTTCCTGTGTTCTTCTAAGGCCTTGTCTACAGTATAGGGGAGTGTTACGAATTTGTAGTTAGAGAATAAATATCTGTGTTTGTTCACTTGAGGCTATGTCATAAGTATTTCTGAGTGGCTACCTAATCTTCACTTATAATTTTTATGCTGTATTTTATTTCCAATTATCAGTGACAACATAATTTATTTAATAATTTCTAAACTTTCAGATTATGTTCAAAATGTTCCAAATTACATATGCCACAATGAACATCTTTGCAGAGGTTTTTTTTTTGGTCTTCTCTAGGATTATTTCCTTAAGCTACTAAAAACTACTAGGCCCAAAACTATTTTCTGAAAGGGGTGTATATTAATTGACATTGCCATCAGCAATCACCAACACCAAGAATTTTGAATTATCTAGAGCCATTTTTCCTTTTTAAGGTACTAGGATTTGTTTCTTATTTTGGAGTGTGTGAGCTCATGCTCATTTGAGTTCAGTGGTTACCAAATTCTGGTTCACATATGACTGTATGTGAATCACCTAGAGTGCTTTTAAAAAATATAAATTACTGGGCTCCACCCAAACTTCATGAATCAAGATCTCTTGGGACTGGACCAGTTTTTGTAGTTTTAAAAAGCTCTCCAAGTAATTCTGTTTGGGAATTGCTGCTAGCACCAATTTCCAAGATTAAAATATAGTCAATGTCATTGAATAGGATGAGTAATATAATACTTTGTCAGAGAAATAATCAACACATGGTATATTTTAACTTAAGAGAAAAAGGAATAAGTACTTTCTTTTAAAAATAACAATGACAGTGTCCATGTATATTATTTACTCCTCTCTGATCAAAGATCGAGAACTCAGACTTAAAGAACTAAATGAATGCTCAAACATGACTGTAAACAGAATCACCTTGTAAGATTTGAAAGAAAATACAAATTCCTGTGTTGTTCCCCAGAACCACTTTAAGAAAATCTAAAGACAGGGTTTTATCAGCTTTTTAAAAAAATTTCCTAGATGATTCTGAAGATTAGCTATGTTTGGGAACCCTGAATTTAACATTTCACATCTTTGGGTTCCACTAAGTCCTCTATTGTATACCCTTCGAGACCAAGACAAAAGTATACTTTCCTTAAGCAGGACTTTTAAATGTTAGAAAATAGCATATTTATCATATTAGTTTTATCAAACATCATCCTAAAGATCAAGATGCGAGTTGGTGAAATACACCCACAGCCTTCTCATTAATAAGGCTGAATTTTATCACAGTCCTACGAATGAAATTACTTTTGCTTGTGCTTTTTATCAGTAGCAGTAAAACTCTGAAAATTATGATTGGATCCCAGAAAGGCTGCTTCTAGGTCTTTCAATTCTCAATAGCCACCAGAGTTAACTGGATGACTTAATATTACTTATAATTCAAATATTTGAGAATTTTAGTTAGTTAGGTTACTGTTCTTTTGAGTCCTCAATCTCTTCATCTCTTGCTGAGGATTTCTAAGCTCAAGTTGGAGCTGACAACCTACCTCTTCTGAAGAACTCATTTTGCTGCCCGTTAATCCTGGAACCATAGGATTCATCAGATGGACCCGTTTTGAGTAGCCAAGTGCAGGGAGGTACTGAGGGGTGAGAAAGAAACACACAAAGTAGATATTAATATAAATTCCTGCTCAGTACCCCAATCTCATCTAACTTGCCAGCTTAATAGTTTTGTACATTCCTTTCAATCTTTTTTTTTTCCTACTTAATATATAATTTTCTAAACAAAGTTTTCCTCCTCTGTTGCTTTTCTATTAGTATTACATAATGAGGCTATTGGATTTCCTTTCCTACCATAAACAATTATAAAAGCTGGAAATATATAGAATAACCATTTGCAAACATTGAACAGCAACAGGTGTATGGCTACAAATCTTGGCAGAAGGGAAAGGAAAGGGTGACCACATATTTACCCTGGCTTTCTCTCCTTGAGGGCATTTTTTCAAACCAGGTACTAAGAAAAAGAGACCAAGCAAAAAGCAGCAGTCTGACTAAGCAGAAGAGATAGCGATTAAAGTTTCAGGCTGCCAGGAGGCTGGGATTTGGAAAGGGTTCTAGAGGGAAGGAAGCCCATTTCAAAAATCTAAGTCAAAATTCCCACTGATTTATCAATTGACTCATAGATGTACATGCATACAAAGAGACTCCAGGAAGAACAGGCTCTGGGAGGCTGGAGACCTAAATAGAGGTTTCAGAAGATGCACAGTGCTGGGGAAACAGAGGTTGAAGTTTAGGTGCAATCAGAGTCAAGAGAGTTTTGTGAACAACTTGAAATTTCAGTATGAGACTGAAGAAAGCCCACATTCTAAGAATAAGAACCACATCATAGAAGAAAGGCCAAAACCAAAATAGACCTGTTCTAACAAAGCCTAAAACCAACCTCTGAGAGGATTGAGGTGATAGACAATTTAACAGCGTACAGAAAACACAGCACACTATAAACATAATCCCAAACCTCTATGACACATCTATGATGTCTTTGATACGTTAAAAAAGTACTAGAAATGAGAAGCAGAAAAAAGTGACTGATAGTTTAAGTAGTTAACAAAAGTAGAGCCAGAAACTATCCAGTTGTTGGAATAAGCAGATCAGGGCATCAAAACAACTATGACTGGTATGTTAAAGGAAACAGAGGAAAAGATGGGCAAAATAGATAAAAGATGGAGAACTATAAAAGAGAATTATAATCTATAAAAAAGAATGAATTTCTGGAAGTTCTGAAATAGCACAATACAATACTGGATGGATTCAACAGAAGACAGGATTAATGAACTTGAAAAGTCAATAGGGAATATCCAAACTAAAGCACGGAGAGAACAAAGAAAGGAAGAGAACAGAACAGAATATAAGAGACCTGTGAGACATGATCAAGAGGTCTAACCTAGGTATATAGGGTCACAGGAGAGGAGAAAGAGAGAATAGGGCATAAGTAATATTTAAGGAAATAATAAGGGACGATTTTCCAAGTTTGATGAAAACATCAATGCACAGACTCAAGAAGCTCAGCAAAATCCAAGTAGGATAAATACAAAGAAAACTATAGCTAAAAACATCATAGTCAAATTGCTGAAAATGAGAGACATAGAGATAACCTTAAAAGCAGCCAAGGAAAAGATATATTATCTACAAAGGGGAAACAATAATACTTACAGGTGACTTTTTGATGGAAACTATGGAAGCCAGAGGAAATAAAACAACTCTTGAAAGTGCTAAAAGAAAAATATTTGCTAAACTAGAATTTTATGCCCAGTGAAAGTGAAAGATAGACGTTTTCAGACAAAAGAAAGGTGAAAGAACTCATTACCAAACATAAAATACTAAGGGGGGCCCTTTAGGCTAAAAGAAAATGATCCAATATGGAAGCACAGAGACATAACTGCAGGAAGAATCGAGAGTGCCAGAAAGGGTAAGTAGCGGTAAGTACACATGAAAATTGACTGTTTAAAAAAACAATTGTGATAAAGTCTTTGAGATTTAAAATATACGACAATAGCACAAAGGGCAGGAGGGCATTTAATCAAATAAAATTGTCGTAGGTTCTTGCATTATTGGGAAGTGGTAAAAATATCTAACTTTAACTGTAATAAATTACAAAGATACAAGCAATCTCTAGGGTAAGAGTGGCCAAAAGTTTTCTGTAAAGGGTTAGATAATAAATATATTAGGCTTTGTGGGCCAAATATAGTCCTATTACATATTTTCATTTTTTTAACAACCCTTAAAAAAAAATATAAAAACCGTTCTCAGAGCTTCTGAATCATACATAAATGAGCCATGGGCCATATCTCTGCTAGAATAATAAAAGAAGGTTCAAGTAAAAAGTTAATAGAGGAGATAAAATAGAATAAAAAGGAATATTTGATTAATCAAAAAATTTACACTGTAAACATTTCCTCATTCATTAAAGATAACCAAAAACTTTAAAAATATATAATATTCCATTATGAGGATTTAGCATAATGTGCTTAACCAATCCCTTGTCATTTGATATATTTCTAGATTTTTGTTTTAAACTGATGTGATAAAAATTTTATATATAACTCAAGTTATACTTTTAAAATTATTTCCTTAGGACAAATTTGTATGATCATTAGGGCTAAGGGCAGAATCATTTTAGGGCTGTCAAATCACCCTCCAGGAATTTACATTTCCACTAACAGTATTTTCTCCTCACTTTTGCCAATGAGGTTTTGAGAAGCTTTCAAAAATACTAGCCATTTCTCAATAGACCTTTTCAACTTAACTCAAGTTCTTTCCCAGAAAAAACAATTATGGTCTCATGCTAATTTCCTCCTTTAAACCCTGCTAAACCTCATCTTAGAAATGAGTGGTTTATGTAAGATCCAGAGCAAACGGACCAAATGCTCTGAGAAAGAATAGTAGCTGTGAGTGCTAGTGCCTTTCCCTGGAAACTAAGTTATCAGGAAAGAAGCAAATCCAACAGGTCTGGAAGCAGCTTCCTAGTGGCAGCAAGAGCATGGGCTTTTGAGTCAGATAGATCTGGGTGATAATTCCTGCTTGGTCACTAACTGTACAGTACTGGAAAAACTCTCTTACTCTTTCTACCCTCAGTTCTCTCATCTGCAAAACAAAGAAAAGTAATACTTATCATACAATAAGGTTATGAGTGGTGGGACTGGCATATTCAATAAACTTTAATTGCACACCTCTGAGGCTCAGAAGAAAAAAGATAGGAAAGAAGTTACTAACCTTCTCTGCAAAGGTGAAAATCTTCCTCTGGTCAATGCCTCCAAATTGGGCATCTACTTTCAAATATTCTTCATCCAAGGCCTGTGGAGAGAAACACATGAGCATAGATTCCTACTTTTTTCTTCTTTATGGGTCTGAGAAATTAGAAACTTTTGAAAATCACTACATTTTTCCGAAATCACTACTTTTTTCTTCTTTATGGGTCTGAGAAATTAGAAACTTTTGAAAATCACTACTTTTTTCTTCTTTATGGGTCTGAGAAATTAGAAACTTTTGAAAATCACTACATTTTTCCGAAGGTAGAGCCGGGAAACAACTAAGCAGCATTCAACCTCCCTGTTGGCCTCAGGAGCTCCAGAAACATCTGCCAAGTGCCTGTACTAAACAGTTCTCCACGTGGATGTCATGGGGTTAAAAATAAGAGTAATCTCTGTTCCGAAAGCTCACAATCCAGTGAGGAAGGGAGGGAAGAACACAGCGAACCATAGTCATGTCAAACGGACTCATTGAATAATGCGACCTGTGAAACACGTTAAATAAGTGGCAAAAGTAGAAGGTGCTTAGAGAGCTAAAAAAAAAAAAAAAAAGGCAAGGCTAAACTAGTAAACAAAAAGTTAATTGCTTACTGCATGCAAGGCCTAGAGCCAGCTCTGTGGATACAGAGGTGAATCAGACTCAGACTCTGCCTTCAAGAAGCCAATTAGCCCAGTTGAGGAAAGAGACATGTAAACAGATAATTTCAATACAGTGGGTTAAGGGCTAACCTAGATGTTCATTTAAAGAACAGTACTAACACAGGAAAGAAGTGATTATCTCTATCTGGTAGGAAAGGCGGCAGAGAAGTCTTCCTAGAATCGGACTGTAGGCTGAACTTAGTTTTGAAGAATATATAGATGTTTTTCACTGTGCAGAGGAAACAGCATGTGAGAAGGCACAGAGGTGTGAAGTGTTTAGGGAAATTATGAGTGATTCAGTCTGCCAAAGCACAAACTTCAAAGGATGTGGGAAGTGGTCAGTGATGATGATGTTAGAAAAGTAGGTGAGGATCCTGAACGTCATGCTAGGGTGCCTAGCATTATTCTAGGTTGGTAAATGGCTTTAAGGAGGGGAGAAACAGGACCTGCACTGTAGAAAGATCACACCAGTAAGAGGCCAAGCATGGAGCGGAGGGCTGTGAGTTGGAGACAAAGAAAATCATTGGAAGGCTGCTGTGAGAGTCCAGGTGAGAAATAATGACGAATTAAGTCAGTGGGGACGAAGAGCAAGACTGAATTTAAGAGATTTTTAGGAAACAGAATTGGTAAAATTTAGTGTCTAACTGGATGGGGGGAAGAGGAAGAAGGAAAAGTAGAGAAAGGTGAGCAAGCAGGAAGACTATAGAACAGAACTGTCCAATAGAACTTTCTGTGATGATGAATGTTCTCTATCTGTGCTGCCCAACATGGTAGCCACTAGCCACGTGTGGCTCTTGGGCACTTGAAATATAGCCAATGTGACTGAAGAACTAAAAGTGTTAATTTTAACTACTTTTAATAGCCATGTATTAAAAGTAAAGTATGACTACAAGCTACCGTAGTGGACAGTGCAGGAATGTCTCTAGGTTTAACCTCTGGAAAGATCTGGAAGTGACAAGGGAAGACTTGGCTTTCTTACATCAAACATTACAGAAATATACAAAGAAAAAGTTAAGTCTATCTATATTTTTATCCTGCCTTCCTGAGGTAACCAGTATTAACAATTTGACTTGTATTTTACCATCCTTCTCCTTGCTCATACAAACATACACACACATGAAATAGAATGTACTTGTTTTGTTTAATGGAAAATAGATGAATTTATTTTTACGCATCGCTCTGAATTTTCTTCATTTAAGAGATTATGATTAACAAAAAGATGTGAGAGATGAAGTGTTTTGAAGGACGGATAGGTAGGGGAGGACTTACAATTGAAAAAGTCAAAGAAGAGGTGCAGGAAGTTGAGGGTGGGGAGAGGAGAAGGGGGTCAGGAAGGCCTACAGCACATGATGAAGGAACAGCAAGCTCATCAGTTTACATGGATTGAGAGAGAGGTTCTGACCTCTGGTTAGAAAAGGAACAAAAAAGGTCACTGGGCAACTCCATCCTTCCCAAGTACCTGTAGTCCTGGGTACAGCAGACCACTTAGCAAAGGGTGCTCCACCTGCTTTACCACCTCAGCTCCAGCTTTCTTGGCATCGTGCTGTGTGACTACAGAGGAGAGTCTGTATACATCTAGTGTGTACTCTCTGAAGAAGAAAGGAAGAGGGGACAGCTGTAAGACTGGCCCCAGGCCTCAGTTTAATCCTAATGCGCATTAATTTAGTCTCCCAATCTTAAGACATTCCAAGAGAGCACTGCCTGATAGCTTCTAAAATGTGAGCGGTCCATCTTCTCACTCAAAATACTACTTTATTTTTATTTTTTCCCCTTTTTAAAGATGGCTCTAATTAATCTTTTTCTTCACTTATCTCTTTAAATACTGCTTCTCTGCCATTCCCCTCCATTCTCTTCTTCTGGAATGCCCATTAAATAAACATCAGAATTTCTCAATCTGTCTTCCAAGTCTTAAGAATAGTGTACCCATCATTCAGTTTAAGAAAAAGGATCTAATTACTTCTGAAACTCCCGTGTACTCCACCACAATCTGACCCTACTTCCTCCTCCTCCACAGTAACCACTATCCTGAACTTGTGTTTTTCCAGTTTCATACTATGTTTGTTTCTCCAAACAATGTATTATAAATATTCTTATATCTGTATCCTGGTATACATGTGCAAGTTCTTTTATATATGCCAATATATAATAGAATTTCTGGATCACAGAGGATTTACACCTTGAACTTTAGTGGATGACGCCAAACTTGTTTATTTTCCAAAGTGGCTTTTATCAATTTTATTAATATTGTCATTATTTTAAATTTTGCCAATTTGGAGAGCATGAGTGGTTTCTCACTACAGTTTTAATCTACATTTCTTTGAATAATAACCAAGGAAGTTAAGCATCTTTTCATATGTGTATTGGTCATCTGGTTTCTTCTGTGAAATGCCTATTTAAGTCTTTTTCTACTAGAATGACATTTTTGACAGTTGATTTTATACTTTTTGACATATAATACTGGGTTATCAATTCTTTGCCCATATATTATAAATATCTTCTCCCAGTTGGTGGCTTGTCTTTTTACTTTATTTTACTTTAAATGTAGTAAAGGTCTTAATTTTAATGTAGCTGAATTTGTCAGTCTTTTCCTGTGATGCTTTTGGTGTGTCTTGTTTAATTTTCCCTGCCCTGAGATCATAAGATGGTCCTACATACTGTCTTTTAAATGTTTTATAGTTTGGCCTTTAAAATTTAAATCTCTAATCCACTTGGAATGGAGAGATCATTTTTTTCCCACATGGATAACCAATTGTCTCTGCACCAGTTTTTCTTAAAAAGTTTATTCTTTCTTTGTTGATACAGTGCCAGCTCTGACATATATCAAGTATTATATTTCTATTTCTGTACTCTCTATTCTGGTCCAATGGTTAATTCTTGATCCCCATGCTATATAAATGACCAAGGATTTGGTATCCAGAATACATAAGAAAATCCTAAAAAAAAAAAAAGGTAGAAAAATGGGCCAAAACACTTGGATAGACACTTGACAGAAGAGGAAACACAAATGGCCAAAAAACCACAAAAATAAATATTTTCAGAATTTTACCCCTACACTTCAATGGTAGTTTGGGTAGGTAAAGACTATTAGGTTGGAAATTCTTTTCCTTAGGAATTTTAAAGGCTTTGCTTCATCGCCTTTTGGTTTTTAGTGCTCTTTTTGAGAAATGCAAGGCCATTTTGATTCCTGACGTTTTGTAAGTGACCCTTTTTGATTATTCAATTATTGGACCTCCTGGCTTAGTACTCTAGTTTTCTTATCTTTTTCTTTTTATTTTTCATCGTGGTCTGTGAGGCCAAGAAACCAAAGTTCAAGTGCATGCGATTCAATGAATTCAATGATTTAATATATTTCATAGATCTTAAGATGTATATTTTTAAACATTTAACATCCCTTAAATCTAGATGTCTTTTAAACAATGGCATGTTATAAATTATTAGTATTTTTAAGACATCTTAGATTAACTGAAATATCTTTTTGTATTTCGACTTTCACTTCGTTTCTGGCCACTAAGTACATATTCTTGACTAATTTGTTATTTGACTAATTTGAAGCATTTAGGAAGTTAAAAAAATATTTTATCAAGTACTTTTAGTTGTTTTCAGCAAGGTTGGTCAGAGTGACAAGTCTGCCAGACTGCTAGAAATAAAAGTCCTTATCTATATCTCAAACACTCTTATAATTTCTGTCCATATTTTTGTATTGCATTCTAGGTGAATTTCTTAGTATTACCTTTCAAATCTCTAATTTTCTCTTCAACTGTATTCAGTCTAGAGTTGATACCATCTATTGAAGGTTGGTTTGTGGGTGTTTTGTTTCACTGTTTTTACTTTAATGACTGAATTTTCCATATTCATGTTTCATTTTTTGTTTCTGTTTTTAATCGATATAATTCCTTGACATTTGAGAATCTGTGTTGTTTTGGAATAGCAGGAATATACTTAACACTCCTAAGTAGTGGGCAGCTTGGTTCGATTCTTGGTATACACATACTCTAAGTCTCCATAGGCCTGAATCTTGATAAAAATCCCTAAAGGTGGCCAGTAGTACCCCCACACCCCAGCTCTACTTGAGAGGTAAGGGTGGGAATGGGAAAAGGAGAAAAGCCCTACTTTACCCTCTGATTTTAAGCAGTACGGCTGGTTTGTCCCCACCACCTGCTCGCTTCCAGACTGGAACCCAGCAGACCTGTAACTTCAGCCCAACTCACCAATTTGCACTTCAATTGTTTCTCTTACCATAGAGATGTTTAGCAAGTTTTTGAACCTGGTTATGCCCTTTATTATTTTTGTATTTTTATCTATCATTGCTGTGTTTGGAACAGAGGAAATGCATCAAAGCATGCATTTACAAAGCCATCTTCCTTTGAAGTCACTTTTCTATATAGAAAAAGAGCAAGCAACTTCAAAGCAAGATAGCTTTATTTATCCTACCTTTATTCCAGGAGAATAAAAACTTTGCCTGATTTATTCACTGTTGTAATCCCAGTACTTAGAACACCGTCTGACATATAGTAAGAACTCAATAAAATCTTTGCGTGACTTGCTTTCTCACCTTCCTCAGGTCTCTGTCATCTTATCGTAGAGGTCTTCTCTAACCACTCTATTCTTACTTCCTGAGAACTTTCTTTCCTCCCACCTGCCTACTTTGTAGCACCTATCACCATATAATAAAAGTACTCCCCAAATATCTGTAGAATGAATGTAAAAATGAATGAAATCTCAGGCACTCTATTGAGGCTGTTGATTCAAACATTTGTTTATATGAGGATGTCTATATTCTTTATTTAAAATTCTTAATGTCCAACAGTGGGGAATGGTAAAGAAAATTATGTTAGATGAAGTAAAAGGAGAAATTAAGTTGTAAACAAGAGATCTGAGTTCACATCCTGGCTCGTCTACTTACTAGCTATACGAACTTATATCTGAATCTATTTCCTTATCTGTGAAATAAGATAAAACAATGCATACCTTTAAAAGTTGTTCTAAGGGTTTAAATGCAAAAGTGACTAGTAGAATGATACGTGGTTTATTTCAGAGGTTTTAAAAATAAATGTGGAGACTATGAGGCGGCATGGGGGAATTATTTAGGAAATTGTTAAGTTAAAAAATTAGGGCTCAAAATTATGAATGCTAACATTACAAATATGAATAAAACTGACAAAGAAGCAATAAAAATTGTTGGGGAGGTAAGAAAAAAGTGAAAATTCTTTCACATTTCTGTTATCATTATTTGCTGAGGCTGGAAGAAGAAAGGGAGGCCAAATGGTTCATCATTACCTTCCCATATGCTGTGAGCTCTGCAAGGCCAAGGACTTTGTTATGGTTACATTTATACCTCCAGCAAACAGGAGAATACCTAAGCATTTACTGGTCAGTATATTTTTGATAGATGAATTAAAAGGACAATGGTTTTTTAATGGCTCATAATATGAGGAGCCAAACAGCTTCTAATTCAAATTTAAAGAGTACCTGGATTCTACAGGTCTGTAATTAGTTAGAAGCACCAGAGCCAGAGGAGGGTGGATGATAAAGCACTTACTTGCTGAGCTGGTAATCGGTGCCTTTGATGAACCTGAGCTTCTCCAAAGACACACCAATGCTCTCCAGCACTGCCTTGATCACATTCTCATAGTAGCTGGTTCGAAGTTCTAGAAGTTCCCATGGGGCTTTCATGTTATCCAGGTATGCGTGAAGGTCCGCAAACAGAATTGTTACCTAGACATAGAGATAAGAGGCCACCAAAATGTGAATTTGTCTAAGTACCTCCAAACTCGCCCACCCTGTCCTGCCGTTGTTAATCTCCCTTTTAGCCATTCCCCAAGGGCAGCTGCTTGGTTTATAACATTACTTCTTACCTCACATCCTGCTTTCAGGAAGTCCGCGATCTTAGACATAGGCACAAAATAAGCAACATGTGGCTTGCCTGTGGTTGCTGTTCCCCAGTAAACTTTAAGTTCCCGCTCCTTCAGTATCTCCTTCAGCTTCTCTTCCCCCAGAACCTCCTGTTGTGGAAGCAGAAGAGCTGGTTTAATGCTGGTGCCTCACCTTACTCATCCTTTACCCTGTGACAAGGAAAACAAAGGCGTGTGTCACTGAGGGTCCAGGTTCAGAGCCTGCAGCAGGGTCTAGCCATGCCCTCAGTGCAGAGTGAGAGCCAATCTAAGTTGGTTCTATTGCTAGGACCACTCTAGTGAAATGACACTGATGTTAGGGGAGTGAGGCATGTCCCTAATTGCATCTTCCCCTCCAACTACCTCTAACTCATGCTTCTTCTTTTCATAGCCAATTTCTTGAAATAGTTTTCTCTTCTGGTCTCCATTCCTTATCTCCTAGTTCAGTTTGAATTCCATACAGCACACATAATGGAAAATTCTCTTGCTAAGATCATAGATGGTCTCCACATTGCCAAATTCAATGAATACTTTTTAGTTCTCAGTTTTCCTGAAACACTCTCCTCTTTTGGTCTCCTTTATTTTTTATTCTCTTAGTTTTCCTCCTACCTCTCTGGGTCTCAGATTTCTTTGCATTTGTTCTTCTTCCTAATGATTAAATATCAGTAATCCTTGCGGCCCTATCTCTTCTCTTCTCTACATTCTGATTCCCTTCAGTTGCTTCAATTACTACTTATGAGCTAGTAACTCTCAAATCTCCTGCACACACATATATAGAATTGTGCACCTATTATCAATCCGGTTAGTTTAGATTCAGTGTGTTCATAATTAAACTCATGTTCTCACCTTCCTACCTCATTCTCCAACCATCTCTTTTTACTTATGGTTTCATCTCTAATTCAGTAAATGGTACTATCAGTTACTGAGTTGCATACGTTACTCCAAAACAGCTCTTAAACCTTCCTTCTTCTCTCTGCCTCTATACCGCCATCCTAGTCTAGGCCACCATCAGATTTTAGTGTTTCTTCAAGTGATAGTTGGGGAGGCTGTTGGAACCCATGATAACAAAATTTTGTTGGTTGGAATTATCTATTAACAGGACTTGTTAAAATCCTGTCTTCCAAACCGGTTGGAGGTTGATCCTGCATCCTCCAAGCTCCTGACTATTTTGACACTTGGAGGGAGCTCACCACCCAAGGAAAGGTCATATCGCTTACCCTTTAAAATATGAGTGAATCAGTGCCACTACCTTTGTCTCCAACCAGCACTATTTTAGAGAGGCTAGGAAACAAAGGATCTGGCTAAGGGGAAGCATGAAAGAATCTCTGGTTAAGATCAAGCTGTAAGTGGAAATAACCCAAATGTCCATCAACTGATGAATGGCAACACAAAATGTGGTATATCCATGTAATGGAGTATTATTCAACCAAAAAAGGAATGATGTTCTGATAGGTACGACACAGATGAACCTTGGAAATATTATGCTAAGTGAAAGATGTCAGACACAAACAGCCACATTTTGTATGATTCTATTTAAATGAAGTGTCCAGAAAAGTCAAATACATAGAGACAGAAAATAGTGTTTCTCTAGGACTGGGGGAGGAATGGGCAGTGATTGCTCATGGTTACAGATTTTTAGGGGGGATGATGAAATGTTCTGGAATTAGATAATGGTGATAGTTGCACAACCCTGTAACTGTGATAAAACCCACTGGAAACCCCCCCCCCAACTGAACTGTACCCTTTAAAAGGGTGAATTTTATGGCATGTGAATTGTATTTTTAAAAAAAGAGGGGAAAAAAAGCTGTAGCTCAACCAATGTATTACTGTTCTTAAAGTAAAAACGCGATTTTAAACATAGCCTACAAGGCCCTCATGACCTGGTTTTGCTACCCCTCCTAAACGAATAAGTAAAATGTATAGTATGTCAGATGGTGATAAACTCTATGAAAAACAACAAAATAAAGTAGAGCAATGGATGAGACAGTTCTGGTGGTAGGGCATTTGTTATGTAAACAAAGTGGTCCAAGAAAATTCTTCCAATTAATGTGACAATAGTCAGAGGCCAAAGGGAGACAAGGGAATGAGCAATTTACTTATTAAGTGCTTGATCTGCACTTTGCTCAAACTACTCCAACCAAATTAGCTTTCTCTCTGAAATATAGTGTTCTTTCTCCCCTCTGGGTCTTGCTCTGGGTTCCTTCTACCTGAAATATCCTGCTCTCTACACGCCCCCCACCCCCCATTCTTCCTCTCATTAACTTCTACTCCTGCTGTTCCTGGAAAACAGCCGGAACATATGTGAAGAGGTGATTCGCAGTGTAGAGGTCCTCAGCCTTCCCTGACACTCCTCCCCAGCCCTCTCCCCTAATTTCCTTTCAAAGCTCCACGTATAGTAGCTTCCAGTACTTTCTTCAACTGTAATTCAGTGTTTAGATTATAGGTCATTTTCAACGTTTGATTCCCTCAAAACAAGCTCTGGGAGAGCAGGGCCCAGCGCCTAGCACATAATAGGGTGGGTGGGGTGGGAGTCCTGGATTCAAAGTCTGCCTCAACGCAGGTAACTGCACACAGGTGAGCCCACCGTGATTTCTGTGGTACCCAGTTAATTGCTGCCTGCCTGACTGACCAACCAAACCAGCACTGAGGACTGCCTGCTCTCTGAGCTTCCTCGGCGCGGATTCCCCGGACCCACGCACTTAGGATATCGTAGTGGGGGCTCAGGATCACTGAACCTCGGGCCCTCAGTGCCGAACAGCGCATTTCCAATTCCAAGGCCCGACCTGCAAGTTCCGGGTGATAAGGTGCAGCTTCTCTTCTGGGCTCGGAGTGTCCCCCATAGCTCCTTCGCCCCTGACTCCCGAGCTCAGTCCGGCACCTGCGCCCCTTTCTCGGTCACCGCCGCCGCGTGCTGGGAGTAGTATCTCAAGTCCAATTAGGTTGCATCAGCTGAGCTCGTCGCTTGGCTTGCTCGGCCTGGGCCCTTCTCCTCCTGGCAGTGGTCGGGAGTCTAAAGCAACGGAGAGCCGAGAGGGTCGATGAGACGAGAAGGGGTGGAGCCAAGAGTCGCGGTAGGCGGTACGCAGGGCGGGGTCGCAGCGCCTGCGCGGGGGCACCCCCCCAGAGGCGGGGCGGTTTCCTGCCAATCACTGCCTGTTTGCCCTACCCCTGGCGCTGGCCCCGCAGCTTCGGGTAGGGGAGGTCGGGGAGGGGGGCGATAAAATGGCGCAGGGGGCGGAGTGAGGCGCGGTCTTTCGCCTAGGTTTCGGCCCGGCT